CCTCTAAATTAGCTTACTTATTCTGAACAACTTTTTCAAAATTCAAAATTTTGGAAATTTCTTCTATCTACATCTTAGATAAATAAATTCAGTACAAACTACAGATCAGAAGCATCGGTATTTACAAGAAGATTAAATTCAGAATTTTACAAATCTAGAATCGTGAAATTTTATATTTGAAAAAAAACATAAATAATTACTATTCATAATATTCATGATTGACGTAAATTTCTAAAATTCCACGAAAAATTCTTCAAAAGGTTTAAGTGGTTTAGCTTTTGAAATTTTTGAATCCTAAACACCAACAACTGAAAATTTAAATTTTATAATCACTTCCTTTACAATGAATATAGAAACTCAGAATTTAAACAGAAACGTCAGAAGTTAAAAAAATGTTAAATTCAGAATTCTGTAAAGCTTGAATTTAAAATTTAATCGTTTAAATATTGCAGAATTTGAAGAACGTTTAGTTTTCAAAATAAAATTTATGTTCAGCTAACAAAAAAATTTACCTGAAGAAATTGCTTATAAATGTTCTAATAAACATGAAAATGCAACTGAGTTAATTCATAAAAAAATATTGGAAAATGAAGATTTTGAACAAAATTAAACAAAAAGAAAACAGTTTCAAATTAAAAAAAAATGGAATGATATAACTCTAGAATAACGTAGTACTAGATTAGCTTTAGGTTATAACTTTTGGAATTTATTCCTTAAACCGACACTGTATATTTCAAATTTTTTTCTTTACAAGAAAGAAATTGAACAGAAACGTTGAACTTAACATTTTAAGATTTGTAGATATAAAAAATTATTTTTTCAACAAAATTTGATTCGTTGTAAGCCTTCAATTGGACATGAAAACGCAGTTGGGTTGACTCATACACAGAGAGAAAATAATACAAATAAAATCAGAACAAATTAATTTTGTGCAGATGTGACAATTGAATGGCAGTTTATATTGAACTCGAGTAAAAAGAACGGCAAAATCTGGAACAGTTTCACTATTTTCGCCCAAAAAATTCACTCCAACCTTTTTCATTCTTTTATTACTGTCGATACAGCGAATGAATGAATATTGATGTTATATCACTTCCCCACAACCTCGCGACAGACTTTCCAATAGATTTTTTCACCCTTAACAAAGCCTTGATGTTTTCTAAAGCAAATTCAATCCACTAAAAGCTTCTTGGGCCGGAATACCAATTCGCACTTCCGGTCACTCAATAAAATTTTCGATTTTAACCGATTAATTCGCCCAAACGAAGCGATCATTTATTTCCACGGTTTCCCCGACTTTGCAATTAAATACCAAAAATTTATCACACTCTGTCCGACTAATAAAACCGTGAGATGTCTCGGAAATTTCGGAATGATCATTAATTAATTCTTCACAGACTTAATGATCTTTCCAAGTATTGTTCCTGTTATTTAACGACAATTAACGCCCGGTGATAAATTGAGCTTCTGGATCCGTCACATTTTTAACAATTAGTTGAGCTTTCAAATAAACGAAGTTTAATGTCGTTTTTCTAGCTTTAATGCTTCAAAAATGAAATTCATGTTTTATTGATGGCATGAGTTAAAGGAAATTTATGGACGCCGGAAAATAAGCTTATTCTTGTTAAAGTCTTGCATTTTAAATAAACTGACAGTAAAGAGAGGCTTACAGCGAGTAATTTGATATTTCAACTAAAATAAACGTTTTATGCGAGTAATAGAAAAATTCCTAGAAACTACGAATTATTAAATTAATTTGAGCGCTGTATCCAAGTCTGTTCTCAAATTAATTGTTTTCAATTATTAGCATTGGTTCGATCGAAAATTAGCTGCGAACTGGTTCGTTAAATTGCTATTATTCGTGTTTGAAACGCATGTGGGATGGAAAAGTATATAAAAGTTTTTTACTCGAGTTGTTCAATTTAAAAGTTTGCTTTCAACAAGCTGTATTCAAAATAAATGGGCTATTTGAGCGAAAATTAGCATTTTGAGGTAAAAGAACTGAAGAAATGTTTACTCCTGGCAATTTAAGATAATTAGAAATTTTATTGGAGAAATATTTTCAACAAATTGTAACACAGTGTTTGAGGGTGTTAACACGGTTTTACTGTTTTAATAACGACTCGATTATGTTAAATTATGTTTTAATGACTTTATACCCTATATAAGACAATTTTCGGGTTAATAAAAGTATTCTACATTGTTGCCAACTGAAATTGTATTTTATGGAAGTGGCAAGAGTCGATTATTGTTGTGCTGACGAGAATTACCAAATTGTAGATTACATATCAGGTGGAAAATGTGTCATTCCAGCGAAATTCGTGTACTATATTATTGACAATCACATTTCTTTAAATAAGAAAATTAGTTATATCAGTTTTTGACATTTGATGATTAAAATTATTTCCCGACCACGGGATGTAATGACAAATTTTCCGACCCCCAAAAAAATGTGTTAGAAATCGTCATAATAGTGAATAATAAAAGTATTTTACATTGTTGCCAACTAAAATTTTATTTTTTGGAACTAACAAGAGTCGATTATTGAGTGGCGACATGAAAGAATTTCCAAATAGTAGATTACACATGCGAGGTGGAAAATGTGTGACATTTTCACCGAAATTTGTATACTATTTTATCGACAATTACAAAAATGAGTTTTTGACATTTGATGAGCTCCTAACTTTAGTAATTCATCATAAATTATTTTCCGACCACGGGATGTAATGACAAATTTCCCAACCTCCACAATGTTAGAACTTGTCATAGTGATTGTAAATGAAGTATTTTAGATTGTTGCCAACTAAAACGTTATTTTATGGAAGTAGCAAGAGTCGATTATTGTAATGCTGACAAAAGTTGGCAAATAGTAGATTACATGTGAGGTGGAAAATGTGTCATTTCACCGAAATGTATATACTATTTTATTGACATTTCGTTAAATAAAAAAATATCCTTTCTTCTGTGAAAGTTAATATGCAAACAAATTGAGTGTTTGACATTTGACATAAATTTATTTCCCGACCACGAGATGTAATGACACATTTCCCGACCTCCACAAAAATGTTAGAAATCGTCATATTAGTGATTGTGAATTAAGTATTTTACATTGTTGCCTACTATAATTTTTTTGATGGAATTGGCAAGAGTTGATTATTGTGTGCCAACATGAGCGAATTTCAAATAGTAGTTAACACACGCGAGGTGGAAAATGTGTCATTACCGCGAAATTAGGTAATCACAATTAACTTTAAAATTGATCAAATTCTACATAATTGTTTCAGAAATCAAAATTTTTTAAAAGTATTTTAGCTTTTGGAGATTTCTACTCTCAAAATTTTA